CCTGGAGGGGGGGGGGGGGGGTCTCCCCCCAGCATGACCTGTGCTCTTTACAGGAAACAGTTACAGCGGGCCCGAGAGGCTCTTTCGAAGCCTACTTGCTGGTAGACTGTGAATGGGAAGATGGCTGAGTTATTTTTAAAAATTTCTTTAGGAGAGTAAAATCTCTATGTGATACCTTGTACTTTAGCATTTCTTTCTCCCAACGCCTTCAACTTAAACAGACCCATGCCCCAGCGAGTGGCTCAGTTCAGGGTACTTGCAGGAGGCAACCAATCGATGCTTCTCCCACATCGATGTTTCTCACCCTCTTGCTTCCTTCCCCTCTCTCTCTAAAAAGATCAATGAGAACATGTCCTTGGATGAGGACTGAAAAAGAAAAAATAAGTAAATTAACCCATGGTTCGGAAGGAATGGCTACACTGCTTACTATGTCCAAAATGCTCATTAAGAATAAAGAGACAGGAAGTCTGATTAGGTTTCTTCTCAGAGGTGTCTGCGAAGCAATAGAAAAGAAGTGCATTCTTTGGGCTTTTAGCATTCTGTCCAGAATGGATTTGTCACGTGGGACGGTAAAAGAGGCCTATTTCACAAGAGTTAGGTTAGTTGGTATCGCTGAGCTGGTCTGCAGGCCGTGAATTTCCCTGCAGCCCCCTGACCAACAAGCCGTTCCGCTGCCTCACTGCACTGATGGAGAAACTGACGGTGAAGCGTGATGGGCAGTACCTCCAGGGAAGGTCTGGCACCGGAACTCTGGGGCTCACTCTGCTTTCATCTGAGTCACTCACCTCTGCCCACCCATGTGTCAAGGCCCAGATCAAAAGCAGCTTCCTCCATGAAGCCTTCCTCGATGCGCCCAGATGGAATTTACCAGTTCTTCTCTGTGCCTCATTTTGTTAACACCAGATGCATGTGCATACACACATCGTGCCTCATTTTGTTAACACCAGATGCACGTGTATACACACACACACACACACACACACACACACACACTGTCTGTCTTGCAGTGCAGTTAGCTGAGTACACATCTTAACTCCCTACCACAATGCAAATTCTGAAGGCAGGAACCCTATTCAGGGCACCTAGTACAGTGATTAACACAGAATACTGCTAAATACATGCTTGCTGGGTTAAATTCCTCAGCTTTACTTAAATATTAGCAGACCTCCCGTATTAAATCACTCAGAAGTGTGGAGAATATAAAAGATATATATGAGCAGTCATTATTTGAGGATCATAATTTAAGACTTAGTAAGTACCTTTAAAAAGATGGAGTTCTATAAAAATTGGAAAGAAATCTCCCAACTTGGGCACAGGCAGCCTCTGAGGTCTCATAGGAGGGAGCCCCCAAGTGCAGAAAGCTGCTCCAAAGAGTCAAGTTAGGCGTATTGCGAGTGGTAATGTCATCCACTGGATTAAAAATTCATCTTCTTTCTCATCTCTTAAAAAAAAACTTGAATACTGAATCCTTTTACCTGGAACTTCCAAATCTTTAAGTAAATAACTAACTAATTGGGGCAGTAAGCCATTTCTTTTGCAAAACTACATAGCGTAGAGGCTAACACTATGGAACTAGACAGAAGTTAGAGAGAAGTGGGTCCTAAACCAGCTGTGTGATTTTGGGTTAGTCACTTAACTTCTCTGAACCTGTTTTCTCCTCCGTAAAATGGAAGGAGTAGAATGTATTTCACAGGACACTATGAGGATTGCAGACAACCCTGTAAAGTGCTCAGCACAGTGCCAGGCACATGCAGTTCTGGCACTTATTACATCTGGCTCTTTGCCAAAGTTCCAATACGTTCACAGAATTCCGTAAGTCTTCAGAGGGGCCTCACAGCACATGCAGCCCAATGACCTCGCCTTTAACATAGGACTCGAGGTCTGCAGAGTCCTGCAGGCTTCGCCTCTGCAGGTACTGCCTCCCAAGGGCACAGCAGCCTCTGAGGCCCAGCAATCACCGCCCTGTATGTCTGTATCCTGGCCAGCAGCCGGCAGGGGCTGTGCTGTTTGTCAGGAGGAACAGTGCCACGGTGTGTGACAGGTACACACAACCTTCTCGTGGCCAAGGCTCTGCCCCAGCAGTGCGAGCATGGGTACTATAGGGACAGACTGCAGGTAACACCACTGCGCTCTCACGCCAATGCCACCGCGCCTGCCTTGCGAGGACGTTTCAGTGGAGCTAGCGCTGCTCTCAGGGCAGCAGTGTGATGGTGATGATGGTATCAGCTGTCACTATGGTCACCCAGCAGGGCCAGGCCAGGTTAAACACCTTACATGGCCCATCTCATCTGACTCGCACAACCACGTTAGGAGGGATGGACTCTTATCACCATTTGACAGATAAGGAAATGAAACTTGGAGTTCTGAGCCCATCACAGGGTTAGGTACACACCTGACAGACTCATTACCCTCTCCTGTCTGTACTAACGGTCCAAATACTCCTTCCCAAAATACTGCCAGGGGCAGGGCTGGCCCAGTGGTTCAGCTGGCCAGGCCGGGACAGGTGGGCCCCAGGGAGCCTCAGGGAGGGACTTTCCTGTATGCTCAGTCCCGCTGGGGCAGGTGGCAGAATGAGGCACTGTGGTATCCCCAAATTACCACGTTGATTTAGATTAAAGGTAAGATCTAGTAGATCAGAATGGAGAACTCTTATCTAGCAAATCAGAACATATCTGGCTTTTCTTGAAAAGTTGAAGAGCGAGATTCCATAAGTTCTGAGACTAAAGTCCCAAATATTTTACAGCTTTTTAAAGTAGCCCAGACGGTGTGGCTCAATGGTTGAGCACTGACCTATGAACCAAAAGGTCACAGTTCAATTCCTATCAGGGCACACGCACTACTGGTTGTGGGCTGATCCTGCAGGAGGCAGCCGATCAATGATTCTCTCTCATCATTGATGTTTCTATCTCTCTTCCCTTCTTCTCTGAAGTCAATAAAATTTTAAAAAATAATAAAGTAATCACAAAAGAGAAGTCCAGTTAAAGCCTTACCTCAACTAAGCACACCATATCTAGCCAGCCACCAGGCAGGGGAAGAAGGAAGCAGGCCAGCCCGGAACGGAGCGGGGCGCGAAGCAACTGCGCAGAGGCGGTGCAGTATGGCGTCACCCTGCAGCTCCAGGCCACAGGCAGCAGCACTGACCCGAGTCAGGAAATGAAGGTCAGATGGACCAAGAGGTGAAGAGTTGAGTAGAAAAAGACTATGCTTGGCTTCCACACATTGGCATCCTCAGAGGATGACACGGGAAAGTGGGTCACCCGAGAGAGGCCTGACACTAGCTGAGGGACTACGCAGGGGTTGTCCCTGCTTTGTCAGCACTCTGGAATGTCTGTGCCAGAGGCCAGCTCTGGGGAAAACCAAGCGACAGCAGGACAGAGAGTGGAACACAATGGTTATAGCTTGTGGTCTGCTGGGATCCAAGCCACTCCAGGCGACTGTCCTCGCTCTGACCTTCACCTTGGGCAGGTGTTTAGTCACTAAGCCTCAGTTCCTCAATTGTAAAATATAAACAACAGCGTCCGCCTCACAGAGATGTTATACCTAAAGGCATGTAGAGTACTCAGCACAGGACCTAGCACATGGGTCGACTCCGAGGGGACGTTTGGCAGTGTCTGAGGACATCTGGCAGTGTCTGTGGTTGTTATAACTGGGCTGTGGTAACTGCTAGCATCTAATGGGTAAAAACTGAGAATGTGCCTGGCCAGTGCAGCCCAGTGGTTGAGTGTCAATCTATGAAACAGGAGATCACTGTTCCATTCCTGGATGGGGCACATGCCTCGGTTGCTGGCTCGATTACCAGTTGTGTGTGTGTGTGTGTGTGTGTGTGCAGGAGGCAGCCAACTGATGATTCTTTCTCATTATTGATGCTTCTATCTCTCTCTCTCCCTCTCCCTTCCTCTCTAAAATCAATTAAAAACATAAATTAAATTAAAAATAAATCAAGAATGCTGTTCAGCATCCCACAATGCAGAGGACAGCTCCTAAACAAAGAATTATCCAGCCCAAAATGTCAATACTGCCAAGATTTAGAATCCCTGGCTGAACACATAGCAAGCACTCAAAAGGTATGAGCTACTAAATTACCTTTACTATTCTAATAATAATAAACAATTTATAGTTTCTTTCCCTCAAGGATGACCAACATCTGTGATTAAAATGATAAGAGACAAAAATATATTACTTACTCTACTTCTCAGAATACTGGGTAGCAGATCTGTCATTCTGGAGACAGGAAGAGTTTGTTGCTTGGTTGATTTTGGGAAACCCAGTAACTTTTTGAAATAAGTAACATAGCAGAGCACCAGAACTGTAGTATAGAAAACCTGGGGGGAAAAGAAAAGAATGGGTTTAAATTGCACTGTTTTAATATAGTCCTAATTAAGATATGCTATAAATTTGACCTCAAAGGTCAATCAAGAAACAGAACAGTCTTAATTAACTGCACCTTCTGGTCTATCCACTGAGACCCAGCAGCCGCGGCATCACCGGGGAAAGTGTTCCACGCACTTCACCTGACTGGGCAAGCAGAACACAACTTCCAGACAGACATCCACTAGCGCCAACTGCCACACCAATGTCAGACACGTTCTCGAAGGCTTTGCTTTTGGCCAAAAAGCGGCTCTCCCGCCTGACAGAACACTGTGAGGATCCATGTGTCCTGTCTGGGCACATCCAGGCACTGGGGAGTTTCCATAGACCCCGGAAACCTGTCACATTATGATTACAAGGCAGAACTGAGCTGCTGGGTCTCCCCTCTCTGCCCAGTGCGTGGGCAGGGCAAGAGCTGCTAGAGCAGTGGTTCTAACCTTGGCTGCACATTAGAATCACCTGGGAATCTTTTTAAAATCCTGATTTCTGGGCCTCATCCTCCGGAAATTCTATTTCTTTGTTACTAATGTTGTGGCCTCACCCCATAACAAAGAAACAGAATTTCTGGAGGATGAGGCCCAGAAATCAGGATTTTAAAAAGATTCCCAGGTGATTCTAATGTGCAGCCAAGGTTGAGAACCACTGTGCTAGAGGATGGGGAGGGAAAGGTGGGATGATAAGAGAGCCCACGCACCTGGGACGAAGGATGGCTTTCGGCCAGGAGCAGCAGCCGGGGTTTTATTTGCAGATTGGGGAGGAATATTCAAAGTGGCCCCTTTTGCAACCTCTCTTCTCCCCTCTTTCCCCCTGAAAAGAGCTCAAGAAAAAATGGGGCCTCCAGGCCCCCTTTCAATCTGGAAACACTTGTAAGAAAGGCACAGAGCAAGGACAAAGAGGAGTCTCCGGTTAGCAGTTTCAGGCTCCTCTGCTACCCACGCCTGCCCCATCCATGCCTGAGAACACAGCCCACCATCCACTACCCCCCCCCCCCAGTTTTATTGAGAAATAATGGACATACATCACTGTATAAGTCTTACAGTATGAGTTTGATTTACACATATTGTGAAATAATTACCACAATAGGTTCAGCTAGCATCCACCTGTTCATATAGACACAATAAAAAGAAGAAAAAAATCTCTCCTTGTGATGGGAACTCACAGAATTTACTCTCTTAATAACTTTCCTATCTATCATACAGCAGTGTTAGCTATGGTCACCATGTTGGACATTACACACCTAGTTCCTATTTATGTGATAACTGGAAGTTTGCACCCTTTGACCACCTTCCAATTCCCCCCATCCTTCTCCCTTCATGCTGCAAGCCAGCCTAAGACACAGCAGCTCTGCTGTGCGCCACACCCGCCGCTGCCAACATCCTGAGATAAGTACCCTTTCCCAGCTCCCTTCCCCGCCTGGCTTCCTCTTCCCACTGAGCAGGACTGGGGAAACAATAACAACCTGTAGCAGGTCTTCATGCAGCGTATCCTAACTACATGGTCTCTCCCCTTCATTTCCATTGAGGAAAATTCACGTAACCTAACACTGACTGTTTTAAGCATTTTAAAGCATACAATTCAGTGGCTTTTAGTACATTCACAGTGTTGTATAACCACCATCATCATCTAACTCCAAAAGGAAACTCTGTACCCATTAAGCACTTACTCTCCATTTCCCCCAGCCTCTGGCAACCACTAATCTCTTTGCCTCTGGACTTGCCTATTCTGGGTATTATATATATTAATGGAATCACACAGTAGGTGGCCTTCTGTGTCTGGCTTCTTCCGCTTAGGATAACGTTTTGAGAGTTCACCGTGTGTTTTATTTTTATGGCTGGACAATATTTTATTGTATGGATACACAACATTTTGTCTACCCATTCATCAGTTGGGCATTTAGGGTGCTTCCACCATACAGCTACTGGGAATAGTGTTGCTATGAACATCCGTGTACTAGTTGTTTGTACACCTGTTTTTAATTCTTTGGGGAATAAACCTAGAAATGGAATTGAGGGGTCTTTTGGTAGTTCTACATTTAACTTTTTAAAAACATATATTTTTATTGATTTCAGAGCAGAAGGGAGAGGGTGAGATAGAAACATCCATTATGAGGAAGTATCATTGGTCAGCTGTCTCCTGCATAACCCACACTACTAGGGATTGAACCCCCAACCTGGGCTCAATCGAACCACGACCTCCTGGTTTATAGGTCGACATTCAACCATTGAGCCATGCAGGCCAAGCTACATTAAACTGTTTGAGGAATTGCCAAACTGCTTTACACAGCAGCTGCCCCATTTCACTTTACCACCAGCAACTTATAGGGGGTTCCGATTTCTCCATATCCCCACCAACACTTGTTATTTTCTGTATTCTTTTGATAATAGCCATCCTACCGGGTGTAAAGTGGTATCTCATTGTGGCTTTGATTTACATTTGCCTAATAACTAATGATGTTGTGCATTGTCTCATGGGCTTTTTGGCCATTTATTTGTCTATCTTCTTTGGTGAAATGGCTATTCAAGTCCTTTACCCACTTTCGGTGGTTTGTCTATTTGTTGTTGAGCTATAAGAATTCTTTATATATTCCAAAGAAACCCTATTATTTGACATCTGATGCCATGGGGTGAGGGGTTATTTGAGGAGGAACCTGGAAGTGGGTTGGACAAAGGGAATCCCAGGGTGTTGGTTGTGGCTTGCCTGCTGACATGAGGAGCTGTTGGTTCTTAGACTTCTGACACATAAATTGACAGAGAATGTACCAGTGAAGAACTCTCAGAAGTCTATGATAAGGAAGCAAATAAATTCAGTACTGGCCTTGCTGACTATGACCTACATATGACATATCCTGGGAGGGAGCTCTGATCATCGGAAAGTGACAATGAAAGTGCCTTTCCCAGGAAGAGTCAACCAATAACTGGGTGCCTGTGTGGCTCTCCTGTCCTATTAGGGAGGATGCATCAAAAAGTATGAGGGCCCAGATGATGTGGCTCAGTGGTTGAGCACTGACTCATGAACCAAGAAGTCACCGGTTCAATTTCTGGCCAGGGCACATGCCCAGACTGTGGGATCGATCTCCAGTGGGGGGCATGCAGGAGGGTCTCTCTTTCATCGATGTTTCTATCTCTCTCTAAAAATCAAAAACATATTTTTAAAAATAAATAATTTTTTTTAAAAGTATGATGAATGCTGAGACTATAGTTCTGGAGCTAATAAAACAAGGCAAAAATAATCACAAATAACTTGTCTAAAATATGCAATTGTTTTCAAACTGCTTTTAGGAGGCAATTCTCATTCTTTTTAAATTTTACTTTATTTTATAATTCTTTATTGTTCAAAGTATTACATATGTCCCCCTTTTTCCCCCACTGACCCCCTCCAACCCACCCCCTGCCCCATCCCAGACCTTTAGCACCCTATTACTTTAAATCTAGCTCTTCTATGTTGCACAAAAATATTTGTAGTTTTTGTCTAGAACATGGAAAAGGTTTTTACATAAATCATTACTAAAAATTTTAACTTATCTTCCTATACATTAAGAAAAAAATTACAAACTGCTTTGCACTATAAGATGTTCTGATAACTATCTGATCTTAAGTTTCATTTTTTAAATTGGCACTGTACTCTCTTATATTTTATTAGAACTAGAAATATGAACTAGAACTAGAAAAGATAAAGTGGAAATGAAACCCAAACTACCAAAACTAAAAATGAACCTGGTTCATGCCCTCTGAATTATGTATTTTTTAAAAAATGTTTTTATTGATTTTTTTATTTTAGAGAGAGAGGGAGAGATAGAAACATCAACATCAATTGGCTACCTCCTCACACCTGGGTATGTGTCCTGACTGGGAATCAAACCCGTGACCCTTTGGTGCATGGGACAACCCTCTAACCTACTGAGCCACATGACCAGGGTGGAGATTTTAATTTAAGTTTAAAACAAAAGTGCAGCTAAGTTGGTTGAAGTGTTGTCCAGTGCACCAGAAGGTTTCAGATTTGATTCTAATCCATGTATCTCTCTCACATTGATGCTTCTTTCGCTCTCTCTCTCTCTCTCTCTCTCTCTCTCTCCCCCCTTTCCCTGCCTTCCTCCCTCTCTAAAAGTTAATCTAAAAAAAATAAAACAGACTTGGCGGAGTTTTCTCCTAGTATGAAAACAATTGATTGAAATCCAGGCAACACAACAGGCATGCAATTTGATTCCCACCTCATCCCCATACAGCTGTTTTTATCCTCCATAAGACAGCCAGACAATCAAAGATCCGTTTGATTTGGGCTTGCTGACAGAGTGTCTACAGGAGCTTTTATGTAGGACCAAAGGGCCTCCTGTGTGGCCTTCACCAGGTCGCTGGGGACCAGGTGGGTCAGTGCATGGCACAGAGAAACATGGCAGCAGAGGGGCATTGTCAAGACCATCCAGAGCTTCTAGCCTTCCTCACATGCATAGATATTCAAATTAAGAACGTAGTAATGGGAACAAGAAGAAAAACTCAGGCGGACAAACAGAGTATACAAAAGTGAAAGGCTGTAACTATTACCTGGGCCAAAGAGAAGATGTACAGTCCCCAGTGAGGCACCCACAGCACGAGAAGAGCTGTCAGCACACTCTTGAGGATTACCGACAGGCTCTCAGCAATCACCTGCAAGCATGTGGTAAAGAGCATGACTTAGACATTTAAAAACCATTTTAACACATTGTTTGCGGGTAGTTTTTATCGCGCGCTAACAGGTGGTGCGGGCCATTTTTGCTAATTTTTTGCGCAAATGGCAACGTTCAGTAAAATTACAATAACTTTAGTTTACGTATTTATACGTTACCCGCATTCTACCACTAATCTATAAAAAACGTATCAATACGTGTCCCGCACTCTACTACGCTGGTAGAACGTATAAATACGTAAAACGTGTAAACACGTTTCCCGAATACAATGAGTTAAAAGATGCAAAGAAATGACAAATAGAAAATCGGGCCAGCGACTGCGCTGGCAGTGGGGCTGAGGCATGGGGCTGGACATGCCTACTTGGTAATGTCCTACTTGTGTTGGGTGGTAGGCTCAGGGACCTCCAGTATGTTATCATGCTCTAAGATTTACAGGTATGTTACAGACACTCTTTTGTACATATCAAGTTATATGTTTTAAAAGATAAAGAGAAAAGTTAATATTAGTATATAACTAAAAATATAATTAACTGAAAAACCTTTAGAGTCCTCTTAAATTCTTATCTAAACTAATACCTTCCCTATTAATAAACCTGTTTTTTCATTAATAGCATAGTAGAAGTAAACTTTAGCTCAGCCTACCTGCCAAATTTCAAGTGAATGAACTAAATTTATCATATTACCTTTCGAGAAGCGAGTCTGAAAAATATCATTCTCTACTATAATGGTATTTTTTTAAAAAAACATTCTTTCCCT